CAGTAATTTAGGGAAACCTCCAAATAGTAGTTTCGGCTTTGCATGCTCTGAGAAGTTTTGTCGGAGTGCTGGTTTCTACCGAGTGTCAACGCAATGGAGGGCTGCGCATGATGCCGTCACAAGAGGTCGTGGCTGATAGCTTCCTGAGAGCCTCTTTGAGGTTGTTTTGTAGCTGAACAGGACATTCATTGCCGTGCCTTCGCTGCTTGTGCGATGCGCGTGTCAAAAAAAGTTTCCACATCTTTTCCATTATCCCTATATCCCCTATAACTCCCATTATCCTTATATGACCCCTATATCCTCCCTATATCCCCCTATATCCCCTATAACCCCCTGTTAGAGGAATGCCCGGGACCAGCACATGATGACCACCATCCTCCGTCTTCGGGCACACTCCCGGGAGCTCTTTGGGCTGGACGAGAAGGTAGCCCAAAGAGACGAAGTGAAGTCCGTTGACCTACAGTCCCCCTACATAGGTCTTAGGGTTATATGAACCATTTTCTAAACTCCTTAAAGGGGGTTGCATAGGGAATTATATAGGGGACTATTAAAAGGGTTATTAAGGGGGATACTAGGAGTTTAGACTATGGCTCATATAGGTTGTGGGGTATAGTCCCCCTAAAGTCTAGGGTTTACAGCCCTCCATAAGTAGATAGAATATTAGGGTTTTTATTAGGATAGTGGAAAAGGAAATGGAAACTACTATTGTATGTTGGGGTCATATAGAGTTATATAGAGATATAGTCCCCCTAGCAGATAGAATATTCGGGTTATATTGGGATAATGGAACAGAAAATGGAAACTACTTTTTAGGGTTTAGGGTCTAGGGTTTAGGGGTATAGTCCCCCTTAAGTACAGAGAATATGGCTTTGGGTATAATTTAATCAGATCCCCATATACCCCATATTCTATCTACTTAAGGGACTATAGGGAGTCTAGTGAGGCATTTTTCGATTTTGGGTATAACATCCCCGATGTACTGTACGTAAGTTTTTCTCACATTTTGGGCTCGTAGTTTGGAAGACAATGATTTTCTGTAGGGCTTCCATCAATCGTGATTTTGCCGCGTGTATGTGCGTATGAGTTAGGATATTTATGCCCCTAGACCCTAAACCCTAAAAAGTAGTTTCCATTTTGTTTTCCATTATCCCAATAAAACCCTAATATTCTATCTACTTAAGGGGGATTATATCCATATATAACTCTATATAACCTCAATATACTATAGTAGTTTCCATTTTATTTTCCATTATCCCAATATAACCCCAATATTCTATCTACTAGGGGGACTATATCCCTATATAACTGGAGTCTTGAGAGGTGGCGGTGACGTGAATTGACAGATACCATTTAGGGTTTAGGGTTTAGGGTTGAGGGTTTAGGGTTTAGGGTTTAGGGTGGAGGTACAGAATGTGTCATTGAAAGCATGGCAGTTATGAGCCTAGACAAGAGATTCCTGTATGGGCGGTTCAGTGCAAAAGCCTATGCAGTATAGTGTACCGTACTAGAATACACTAAATTAGAACACATTATAATACACGATAACACGCCAGAAATACATTGAAGCATATTCCAATATGCAACAAAGACCCTAAACCCTAAACCCCACACCCTAAGCAAGCCTAGGGGGGTAGTCAGTCTTTGTGTGATGCCTCTTCGATGACTGCAATCAGTGATCCTTCAAACTTCTCGTCTGTTTATTCATTCCGCTTTTTGCAGAAGCCTAGGTTTGTCGGGCATGAAGCACACGCCAAGAGCTAATTGATGTTAATATAGGGGTAACATAGATATATGGGGTTATATTGGGATATACAGGGATAATGGAAAATCAAGTGGAATCTACTATTTAGGGTTACGGGCAAAAAAGGTTTAGGCTTAGGCAAAGACGGAGTCACAATGAGCCTGCGCAGGATTTGAAGATCATCGTGTGGGCGCACAACTCGCACGTGGGTGATGCCACTGCTACGCCTATGGGAGGGATGAATTTCGAGCGAAATGAGCTGCTCGCCTCAAGTTCTTCGTTTCCTCCTCCTACCTCAGAGGGGAGGGAGGTTCCCAGTGTGACACATGCCCAGGTAGTAGGATCTGTGCCAGTATGACGAGTATGAGTATGATTTCAACCTTTTTCGAAACATGGTCTTTGTTGAAAAGGCACAAGAAGCACCGCAAGCTTGGGAATTGTGTTGCTGCTGCTTGATTTGCCAGCCACTCCAAGGAAGTGGAACTTGGGACAGACACTGTGCCAGCATTGGGGCAAGGTCTTGGTAGATTTGAGTTTGGGGTTGAGGCCAGTTCAGGTAGCACACCCATCTCTACCTTTGAGGTCATATAGGGGTTATATAACATGGGGCTTGCAAATCAGTGACGAAAAAAGAAATGGAAACTACCATGTTGTAAGCTTTCGCTTCAGGGGCAGTAGGTAGGCACTTGAGAAGCAACAGTCAGAACTACTTTTTGCTAATTATATGGGGCTTTCCCAAGATTAGGGGTACCTTACTGGGGGT